GGAGTCTTTCTTCCTCAAGCTTGTGAGCTTGTCTCACAGGAACGGATTGCCTAGATTGACACAAACGTACGTGTGCCATGCGTGAGTCCGACATGATCATCCACTCAAATAGGCTTGGTTTACACAATGAAGATTTAAAATTTATCACGAAAATGTAATTGAGTCTTCAAACTTTCAAAAACTGCAATTAAGTCCTATAATTTATTGTAAAAGTGCAATCGAGTCCTAAAATTTTCAAAAAGTCCAATCAACGGAAGGAATTGATTGGATTAATTGGACAATTTTAGAGTCCTTCAATTAATTACTCTTTTTAAAAGTTGTAAGAATCGATTGTACTTTCGTGATAAGTTTTATGATTTAATTTCTCTTTTCAAAAGTTGTAAGATTCAATTACACTTTAGTGATAAGTTTAGAACTTTCAGTACACTTATCTTATCTTTTTCTTGTCTCGATGATTCTCTGATCTTGTTTTTAGTTTGTCACTGTTAAATAGAAGTACCAACATACTTTGAAAGACTCCAATGGCTGGAAACTTCATGGAAATCTCATCAAACGTCATTTTCAACCCTTTTTTCTCTCTTTTCCTTCGTTTCTAGAATCGAATTCTCCGTCACCATACGTTAAAAAACCGGTCTGCTCGCCCGTCTTTTACGGCTTTTAGTCGCAAAAAGAACCCGGTGTCTAAAAGCTGTGTCAAAGTCCAATTTCCATCAATGGACTCAAGAAAAACATTTGCAGTTGAGCACCATCGATTGCCGTGAAAGACCGCGGACGACTTTGCTGATTTGATAGCATGTGAAAATGAAATATCGTGAGCATGTTGTCCAATGACTCTTAACTGAACAGTACCAAGAATAAGAAATTTTCGGAAAGACTAATATGTAAAAGCTAAACCAGTAAAACGGATAGATCGGATCGGATTTGGATCGAGTCATAAATGGTCCAACTCAACTTGACCTATTTAATCCGTTTATGACCCATTTGTCGCAAGGCAAAAATCTGGACCCGTACTCGACCTGACCCATACCCAATTCATACCCGACCTGACCCATTTAACTAAATATAGAAAATCTTATTTTTTATAATTATTTTACAAAATTGCATTGCTTAAACATCTTCATGCAATACAAATCTTTTATAAAAAATTGAGGCTCCATTTGTTTCTCGAAAAATATAACATTTCTGGAAAATATTTTTGGGAAAACGACAATATTTTTCGATATTTGGCTGAAACCTAGAAACGAACTAGAAAATATTTTCCATTGTTTGGTATGAAAAATCATATTTTCCTATGTGCACTCATTTTAATATTTTAATTTAATTTTTAAAAAATCATATTTTAATTATTTTTCTTTTCCTTTTCTTTTTTTCTTTTTTCTTCTTCCCCCGCCGGTGGCCGGCCACAAGTGAGGGACGAGAGGTTCGAGGCTCGTCGAGGCCGGCGCTGGCCTCGGCCTCGCCTGATCGGCGAGATCATCCCTCGCCTGTGGCCGGCCTCGCCGTGGTCAGCCACCGGCGGGGGAAGAAGAAAAAAGAAAAAAAGAAAAGGAAAAAGGAAAAGAAACAAAGAAAAAGAATATAAAAATTATAAAAATTTAGAAAATTGAAAATTGAAAATTTTACTTAAGCTTATTGGGTAACCCATTTATGACCCATGAAGTTAATAAGCAACCCATTAATGACCCATTTAAGTCTATTTTTAAAACTAAACCCAGCCCATTTATAATCTACAATCATTATATATGGGTTAATATATGGGTTCTTGACCCATTTACCACCTCTAGCAAAAGCTTAAATGGTGCATATCGGAATGAAATTTCTCATATCAAATTTTGGGAACGTTTGTACTCCTAACATGACATCCCTGGATTAACTCGTTGATATATTGTCCGTTTTGGCTCGTCTCATGCCGAGTCTCGTGATTTTGTTATTTGGCATACATGTGACTCCTGAACACGCTTAACTTTGGAGTTTCAAAGCTATGCACTATCATTACGTCAAAAGGCACATCCGCGAGTTAATTCCAGTTTTCACACACAGACACACATATATTAGAATTGCTCTCTCTATTCGGTGTACAGTTCAGTTCATTTCTGCCCCATTTGCCATTTTAAAAGCCTGCTAAGAGTCGCTTCTTATCCATGCCGTATAGCCTTGGCGATTACTCTTCGCCCTCATTGGATTGAGTCGTTACAGGCCCACCAGCTTCCGCTTGGTTCGTCCCTAAACCACACACTTTATCTGTTGGGTAGCCCACTCTAATACCATATTGTGACATCATTAATTTAACTCACTAAGGTATTATCCGCTTTGGCTCGTCCCATAATGAACCTCACGATTTTGTTCTTTTGGCGTATATGTCAGTACCTTCCCAAGAGGTCACCAATCTTAGGAGTGCTTCCACCCGAGCACGCTAAGTATTGTCTCCGTAAGTTAATTTCACTTTTCAACACACACACACACACACACACACACACACATATATATATATATATATCTTATAATCGCTATTCTCCTGTTCGGTGCATAATTCGATTTATTCGTTCTCCTTTTGCCATCCTAGAAATCTGCCAGAAAACGCTCCTTATTTACGCCCTTCAGGCCTGACTATCACTGTCCATCCTCGTCGGACTGGGTTGTTACACTTACACCTAAAATCACTCGCGTTCATACATTTACTGACCGAGCCTCACAATATGCATCTCCATTCGCATGGTGTTGTGGGATTATTATTTTCTGCGAATTTGGTTTGGCACGGTGATAAATCATAAGCATTAAAATATTGGCCATAACTCATCTAACTGTTGCTGGGTTTTGGTGTAAGTCGTGTCCGTGCTCTGCTTTTGAAGATGTCAATTGCAATTACCTTTTCAAGGAAACTAACTTCCTGTATCGTCATGAGCAAGCTCAACCGGTCCAAACCTAATCGTCTCTCCAGCGCGAGATCCACAGCCGCACACGATCGAAAGAGGAAAAACAATCAATGAATTTTGGCGAACTATCGTGCGACTATCTCCATCTAGTGGCCCCAACTAGGCCAGCTGGGAATGGACCAGACATAGATAGGGCTACGATTTACCTACGTGGATGCCCGAAATAAATGTTAAAACAACGTTGTAGGACAACGACGCTTTCTTCGATTTATTTACTATAAGTGAGGAAAGTAATGAAAACATCTAAGTAAGTACAGAAAAAGACAACACTTGAAGATTTGATCTACTTTTTCGGACCAAAAACAAACAGAAGAAAGATTTGATCTACTTTACAGAAGTGAATTTAGATTTTCTAAAAGTCGGAAAGATTCAATCACGGAAAGTGTGAATTTTGAGACACTCCTTCGAATATCTCGCTAACTTTTTTAAGTCACGATTTCATTTGTAATTTAGGAATAGACAACAAAAAAATTCATTTTGACAACTTATATGGGCCATTCATGAAAATTTTGGAAAAAGTGTTTGAGGTTGAAACCTCGCTTAGAATTCACTTTATATTTAGTAGAGATTGAGCAAGCTAACCAAGAGAATATAGCGTTACACGATTCGAAGCATTCATAAATTTACTCAAAAAATAAATCCCTTTGGTAGATAGGATATGAGGCTGGCTATCCACACATTTGTTTGGAATATTATCATATAGTATCAGATAAAATTGAGGAAATTATCAAAAAAGTCACAAATTTATTGTACGAAATTCAATTCGGTTTTAAAATTTCCAGTTTAACCACAATAGTCATAAATTTTTAACGATTTTCCAATTTAGTTCATCCAGTGACCATTTCCTACGCTGGTGGCGCAGCCTAAAAAGAAGATAAATAATGAGGAAAAGGAAATAAAAAGAAAAAAAATTAATACAATAACGAAGAACGAGATCATGAACAGTAAAATAAGAAAGAAAAGAACAAAAAAGGAAAGGAACGAAGAATATCAAAAAATTTATAAAATTTCTCAAAACGAGTTGTTTGGAGTGGAGTGGTACACATCAGATCGCCGGTCAAGGCATGTAGGGTTGCGCCGGATCGACTAAATTCGACAATCACCGAAAGATTTACGACTACATCGACCAAATTGATAATTTTAGAAATAAATCGGAATTCGTATAATAGATTTAGGACGTTTTGGGTAATTTTCCCAATATAATTAAATCCAATCGTATGAAATGTTTGGCGAACCTAGAATAGGATTGGTAAAAAGAAAATTCAAATAAACTACTCTAAAAAGGCACCCTTGATCTATTGTTAGCCCCTAGATTCAGATCCCAGTAGACCCGATCCACTATTAACCCCTAATAGTCATACATCATTGTTGGTATTGGTTGGAGGTTGGGTGATTGGTTTTAGGTTGTGTCGGTCCTAACCTAGAACCGGGAGCCAATCCCGTGACTAACTAGTATGTTTTATTTTTGTGTGTAAAAAACCAAATTCTTACAAGAAAATTTATAAAACCGTACCGCTTCACCATAAAAAAGATACGTCAGTTAAGTGGTGATGCAAAAATATTTTTTTCTCTAAAAAGTCTTCAAATCCAGTTTTAAAACCGGCTCGCCCAAAAATCGAACCGACTGAATCGGTCCTTGAGTAGAATCGGCTTGGGATTCCAACCTTTAGAGCCGGTAACCGAATCAATACTAAGCCCTCGGAATCGGGAACCAAACCGATTCTCCCTAGATTGCGTCCCGGAGCCGATCAATCCAGGTCGGATCGGTCCAATTCTCGGGTCGAATCGGACCTGATGCTCAACCCCTAATCAGAGGGAAACCAGAGAAAATTTGATTTCGACCCAAATAAGAGACATAATCAAACAATAAACAAACCAATCAAATTCGTTAAACAAATCCCTCGTCGGTTGACCAATCCAAACCTAATTCGATTCTCCGACGAATCAAAGTTATCAAATCGTACCTCTGTGTGTGTGTCTCTCTCTCTATCGGGTCTCGATACCGTCATCCACCAGTTTTACCAACTTGCGCCACCTAATGTTTGACGCATTTCCTTTTAACTTCCGAAAAATCGGAAATTTCTTCTCTCCACATTCTTCATATCGCCACCACCCCACCCCTCGTCGCGACCCGTCGATCGGCCGGTGAGCTTCGGAGCCGCAGCAGAGCCTGAGCCGCCGCCGGATCGAGATTCGAATCACCGCGGTGCGCGCGCCCGAGAGCGTGTGGACGGAGCGAGCATGGCGCAGATGAAGTACCTGATCGAGGTGGAGAAGGGGAAGGAGGCCCGGGACGGGCGGCCGTCGGTCGGCCCCGTGTACCGGAGCGCCTTCGCCAGGGACGGCTTCCCCCCGCCGGTCCCCGGGCTGGAGAGCTGCTGGGACGTCTTCCGGTGAGTTGTTGCCCGGCCGGCCCGCCGGCCTGGCGAGATGGCACGGTGATGAGGTGGTCTTTGCATGTCGAGTGTCTCGTTGGTTTGGTGCGCGAAGTGGAAGTGAATTTCTGGCGATGTTTGGTTGTCGATGCTGGTTCGAGATTGGATCGGTTGTATTTTCCCTGAAAGTTTGTTCTTTTGATATGTGTGCAGTGCAGTGCTTCAGATTTCAATACTCTCTTTCTGCAATTCTTAGTAGCGTTTCTACCGGATGCGAAGACCTGCTTGCATGCGTGATTCCGATGGGTTACTTCAGTGAAGCAGTTCATTTCATTGGAGAGACGTAGTAGTCTTTTCTTTCTTCGGCCTGGCGTTTCAGTAGAGCGTGTATTTTTTATTCAACTAGTCAACTCGATCCTATTGACTGCCTTTGTTTGTTTTATTTATGCTGAAAGTATTGTGCATGAGTGATTGTTCTAGGTTGTGATGTTTGTGATAGTAAAGACCATCCTTTTCACAGGATGACTGTCGAGAAATATCCTAATAACCATATGCTCGGTCGACGTGAGATCGTGCGTGGAAAGGTACGATCACTTGTGATGAATTGGTCATTTTTTTTTTGCATCACTTGCTATTTCTTGCCTTGATATCTGGACTGTTTGAGAGCAGGCTGGAGAATATGTATGGCAAACGTACAAAGAAGTACACGATATAGTGATCAGAGTTGGAAATGCTATCCGGAGCTGTGGTGTTGAACCGGTAAAACATTATTGCCAATGAAAGCTCCAGTGTTGAATACCATGTTATGTGTTTTAATTGTTTCGTTTCTGTGACACAGAGAGAGAAATGTGGAATTTATGGTGCCAACTGCCCAGAGTGGATTATGAGCATGGAGGTATGTTGCTTCTTCAGTCAGTGGATCCCTTCAAACATATCAGTAGACTTATAGCTTGTTTGGAAACATAACCTGACTCGATGGTACAAAGTAATAATTGGTACTGGAGCCTGGAGCATAGTCCTGCCGAATCTCATGCCATCTGATTCACTTTCTGGGTTTTTAATGCCTAGATTCTTTCATGTCTCCCCATTTGGGATATCCAACAGTCTATTAGTGAAGGGACATTTCATCTTTTTTTTTTTTTTTCCAATTGATACATGTTGACTGTAAGAAATGAACCTCGGATTTGAGTGTTGCTTGTGGATTTCTGTCCTTTACACTGCCTTGAAGTTTGTCAACTTTTTTCTTACCGTAGACGTTTACATTAAAAAAAAAAAATGCTGAGTGGCACAATGAACGACAATCAAAATTGAAGCAAGATCCAATGCCTTCCTGTGGGGTCTGATAATTACAGGGTAAAACACAGACTAGTATAGCTAGGTATGAGTTATATTAAAAGTATGCCAAAGGTACTTAATATGAAATTTGAATCAGCGCATCTTGCTCAAGACAAGCACTTCTGATCATCTGATAAATTAACATCTTCATTTAGTCACTTGAAGAATGGCATCCTTTGATGCCAGAATCAAGCTACATACATGCAAAAGATTCGCTTGAAGAAGCATAGGATGTCGTGAAAACTCTAATTGAAAAGGTCTTGGCAAGATGTTATAAGTTTAGATTGAAACGTGATCACTCAACAAAAGATGGGGAATATATACTTTATTTGGATAAGAAAGGTGCATTTTTGTTAGAATTATGTGGGACTAACATAAGAAAATTGTTCCGACCAAAAAAAAAAAAACGTAAGAAAATTGTTTGGTGTTATCTCGAGATTAAGTGAGATATTGGATTCAAATCACACTGCCAGTTAAATAAGCCAAGAAATCACCAAGTTTTTAAGTTCTTTTGTCCAGGTTTTCACTTAAGATGTGAAGTATTTAAGAAATACCGATGAGTGATCAAGTATATTTTTTGGTTGTATGATGTGCATATTGAATTGAAAGTAAGCAGGGGCAGCAGAAATAAGTTGTATACCATTAGAATCAGGATATTGCCTGCTGAAGGTTCAACTGCTTCCATTGTACTTTAGGATCATGGGTAACTGCCTCACTGTCCTAGACTTGTAATCCATTCCCACAGCCATTTTAAATGCTTTTGTGTGCTGTTGAGTGTTTCTATATCGTCTCTGTTGTGTGGTGGAAGCTCCTTGTCATTTTTTATGTGTCTTCTTATTTGAAGTTGTACTCTGCTGTGCACCAAAATTAATTGATTCCGAAACTACTGCAGGCGTGCAATGCTCATGGGCTCTATTGCGTTCCTTTATATGACACGTTAGGTAGGTATTTTCCTTCTGATATAAATTGTGTAATACGTGTAGATGACAGGTTTGGAATGGTTTTCAAGCATCATTGGGCACAGTTGGACGACTATCCACTGATGAGCGCATTCAATCTTAAGAATATTTCCGTCACTAACTTTATAGTCAATGCAAATTGAATAATTTGTGCCAGTTCATGCCTTTTTTTAGCTTGATAGTACCAATAGGTTGTGCTCAATTACAATGTGTTTTCCCATCGATTTGCAGGTGCTGGTGCTGTTGAATTCATTATATGTCATGCTGAGGTTTCAATTGCTTTCATAGAGGAGAAAAAGATTGCTGAGGTCCAAATTTCGTTCTAATTCAGTTGTTTTTCATTCTTAGCTCTTTCATGGACAATTCCACAACTATACACACTTTAATTTCCTGATGAGTAAGAAATTGATAATAATGTGTTTTCTGAACTTATTATGCTAGCAAGAATGTAGCTAATTAATTATGGTGAATTTGCTCTGGAAATATTTTTCTTGTTATATTGCCACCTATTCAATACGATATATTGTTAAGGGAAATGCTTATGTGACTGTCTTCAATCTACTGTGAGAATAATAGCTTGTTTTGAGCCACAAAAAAATAAATAATAAATAATTAGAAATTGTTGTGGGGTCTACCCCTTCAAGAATTTGTGGCTCACAACAAGCTGTTATTCTAACAGCAGTCCAAAGACTTATGCTAGCAAGGCCCTATTGTTAATACGATAGTGGCATGAGAATTTAGGTTTTGATAGAGGCATCTTTTCTTCTTCGATTATTCTTCAGTCTTTCTTTGTACATACAGGTACTGAAAACATTTCCACGCACAACGGAGTTCTTGAAAAGTAAGTTATTAAGATGATTAACTTTCCTGATACCTATACTTGTAGAATGCTGGATTTTTATCAAGTCTTCCATGTTGTAGCACTCGTGAGCTTTGGAAAGGTAACCCCTGAACAAAGGGAGGAAGTTGAGAAGTTTGGTTTGGCTATATATGCTTGGGACGATTTTTTGAAACTGGTCAGTTTCTCTATCCATGTACTTGTTCTGTTGGTCACTGAAATTTGCTCTGCTTCTTTGTGTCATCAACTGCAAGGGATGTTCATATTTCGTTCAAGCCAAACCTTTACTTCTTCATGTGAGAAATTACAGTTGTACTCAGCATTCTTCATCTTTATCCTTGGAATGCTATATATAAGGGCTTCAATCTTCACGTCCAGTATCAATGCAGCCTTTCCTAATGCTTTTATCAGAAATTTTTTCTCTTTGGACATGTCACAACTTTAGTGCTTGCAAAACCAATTGTAGCTGTAGGAAATGTTTGGCTGTATTCCTTCATAGTGCCTCTGTGTTGTGTGTGTGTCTGTGTGGTGATTTTGTGAGGTTATTCTAGCTCGATGGTTAAGTTTGATTCATTTCAGTGCTTACTATTAGTTGATCAGTATTTGATCCATTCTTCTAATGCATTAGAAGTTTAAGTAACCCCTTTGTTTCTCCGAGTTGTCTATTGAGGTGTTATACCCTTGTTGGTTAGATATGACATTCGTCCCAATGGCAAATTAAATTTATCCTGATGCTCCTCCAACGGAAAACCATCATATGAGTGATCTGTTCAAAATTGTGTTCCCATACTTCAAGTGTTTTTAAAGATAAAAAACATTCTTGCTTGTGTTGCATTGTATGAGTGTATATATTTGGTAATATTCTGACATTTCCAAGTTCCAATTTTTTGCTTTATTTATTTTTATGCCAAACCCAAATGTCACACAACTAAATACAGAGATGAGTCAGCCAGATACATTTCCATGCTCTGTACCAAGTCGAGCGTGAGAAATATTATGCACTGAAAGCTGTTAAAGTTGTGGTAGTTCGGTGAGACAAGAACAATGATCAGTGCTGCAACTTTAGATCTGGGTGGTGTGGACCTTTCCGTCTTTGTATCTTTTGCACATTGTGTCGTTAACTTGATGGTCGATCTAGAAATCTGCTTTGCATGGTTTATCTTTTGGCTGCTTTTGAATTTGATGGCTAATGTTGCTTACGTCCCTTACCTGTTCTAAATAGAGCTCTGATGGATCTGGATTCCATGTCTCTAGGCTAACTGACAATAAAAAAATAGGATAGCTTGTTGATCGACTGAATGCTGCATCTCTCACATGCATGCCTTTTCTAAAGTGAAAAATATGCTTTGTGATTGCTTAATTATAGTAGCTCCAACATCTGCTGCCTACTTTCACTTGCAGGGAGATAATCAGCAGTTTGAACTTCCTGCCAAAGAGAAAACAGATATATGTACGATCATGTACACTAGTGGAACAACCGGTGATCCGAAAGGTGTAATGATTTCTAATGAGAGCATCGTCACTCTTATAGCTGGAGTGAAGCGTCTGCTAGAGAGTGTCAATGAAAAGGTAAGATTTTTCCAATTTCATGTCTAGATCTCCTGAAGAGGGCAAACACTTTGGGACCAATTGCAGCAGATATGCTTTATGCCATATGATACAAACATTAAAGGATTCATTTAGTTTTAACACTATATCTTCTGACTCTGACAGCTCCACCATAAGGATGTGTATATGTCATATCTTCCACTGGCCCACATCTTTGATAGGGTGATTGAGGAGTGTTTTATACATCATGGTGCTTCAATTGGATTTTGGCGTGGGGTAAGGATGCTGACTATGATACATTATACCTTTCTTTTTAGGAAAATCATATACTAAAGTTTTACTAAGGCTTATTTGCTAATTAGCATGGTGGTTGGTGGAAGTTGAATTGTTTGTATTGGGATTTTTCTTTGATACATGGGACACAAACAATGATTTCTCTGCAATTATTGTAATTGAGGATATTTTTTCAGTTACAATTTCTTTTTTCTTCTTTTACCGATAAAGAATTTGTTGTCATAGTTGTTCATGTCTTATTTGTTCCAGGATGTTAAGTTGTTGATTGAGGACATTGGGGAATTAAAACCAACTATTTTCTGCGCTGTACCCCGCGTGTTAGATAGAGTATACTCAGGTAAAATTTTCTTTTGACCTGATTCACTTAGTCTAATAACTTTACTAACGTCTTTTCCATGGCATTTGATATTTCAATTTGGATTACTGCTGCCTTCATGAATGTAGAGACATAACTTTAGACCTTGCATGTGCAAAATCATTTTACGTAAATGCTACTTTGAAACTTAACAGAAGTAGATCTGATTTGTTAACAAATAATTGCTCATGCATGCAGGGTTGACTCAGAAGATCTCTGCTGGAGGTTTCTTAAGACATAAATTGTTCGACTTTGCATACTCATAGTAAGTTCTTTGTTAAAATTCGCATTTTACCTGTGGGAGTGGATAAAGCTCGTTGGGCATGATAAAGATGGAATTATCATATATTTATCCAACGTGCTTTTATTTGCTTCCTTGCAGAATGTTTTAATGTTTGGGTCCTTTTTCTTCCAATGGAAATTTGTCTCCTTGATTGTTTCCACTGTATACCTAGAAATGATTTCCTTGGACGTGTGATAGTCCAGAATGTTGCAGGCATCAAATGGCTTAATTATGACGATGTCTCCCACTTTAGACTTGTAGAGTGATCTGACTAACAAACTAGCCAATTGTATCTCATATTTCAATTTTTGAGATCTCTTCCTACAATGTTGGACTGATGAGGTTGGAACCTGTCCAATCATGTCTAGGATCATAACAAATTCTGTGCACAATTTGTTAATGTTTTCGCATCTCTTTTATGCTTGGTTATTTGTACTGAATGGATTGCTGCATTGTACCTTCATATCTGATTATTATTTATGCTCATAAATTTGCTGTAGCAAGTTATATAACTTGAAGAGGGGGAACAAATATGAAGAGGCAGCGCCTTTATTTGACAAATTTGTCTTCAGTAAGGTGATCAAAAAATAGACTTGTGGTGCATATTTCTAATTGTCCTTCCCAACCTTATATCCAACTAAATCCTGACGTTTTCAATTTCTCTTGCTTGCCGTATATCAGGTAAAGCAAGGGCTGGGTGGAAATGTACGACTGATTCTATCAGGGGCAGCCCCTCTATCTAACCACGTAGAAGCTTTCCTTAGGGTGGTTACATGTGCACACGTTCTACAAGGATATGGTATGAATTGCCCCCTCTTTGTATGTTTTACATGTTCTCTCTGTCTTTTTCTTGTTGATTCTAAACTTCGAGAATTAATCATTGTTAAAATTGCAATATAGCAAGAGAACGAATAGCAAGAATTAAGCTCTCAAAAAGATGGATGATGGTGAGCATGCCATGTTATCCTGCGATTACTTTAAGTATTTCTCTTAATGCTTGTAGGTCTGACCGAAACCTGTGCTGGCACATTTGTTTCACTACCAAATGAGCACTCAATGCTTGGCACAGTGGGCCCTCCGGTGCCTAATGTTGATGTCTGCTTGGAATCTGTTCCTGAAATGGGATATGATGCCCTCTCAAGCACCCCGCGAGGAGAAGTATTGGTGAAGGGAAAGACCTTATTCAGTGGTTATTATAAACGAGAAGATCTGATTAGAGAAGTTATGGTTGATGGATGGTTTCATACAGGTACCTGTAGCCCCCTTCTTAGATTCAGTGAAAGTTAAACCTGTGCCATTCAGACTCTCTTAAGTCAAAATGTATGGATGTTTTGCATCAGGGGATGTTGGCGAGTGGCAACCAGACGGAAGCTTGAAAATAATTGACCGCAAGAAAAATATTTTTAAGCTTTCACAAGGAGAATATGTAGCTGTTGAAAACCTGGAGAACATTTATGGCCTCGTTAGTGCTATTGATTCGGTATGCTTCGTTGATCTTCCATTTACTTCCTTTTGGCATTTGATTTGTGTCTTGCTTATTTATGCAAATTTCTTATTTCATTAAGTACTGATGAGCGCAATGCATATTTTCTGCTATATCTTTCGTGGAATTCCTCCTGTTTCCCTTTACCTTCTGAAGTGGTGTCTTATTGTCCTGTTGACCGGAAAATCAGTCACTATCAATTTAATTTGCTTGTGACTTAGATCATAGCTATCCTATTGATTGCTGGCTCCTACATTCTTTGACAAATCTATGGCTTAGAGAGATAGATACTGTCTCTCGTGGGCATTGAAAGCTTGTCAACACACAGTTCCATTAAATACATTACCTGTACTATTTGTGCTACACGGTTTTGGATCTAGCAGGATGATTAACATGTCGGTTATGTTTTCCGCTGCCAATGCTATCTGCTTTCAGAATTGCGCGTATACATTGGATTGATCCTTTATGATCTTAGATATTTATCATTTTCCATGACTTTTGACAAGAATTTCTACAAGCTGCTTATTACATTGTTATAGTAGTGAAATTTCTACTGAAGTAGTCGTGCATTCTGGTCTGAACATGTTTGATTTTCTTCCCCTACCACATGAAAGCCAGAAGTGCACAATCTAATCCAAGTTGTTTCCCTTGCCAATCTAGAGACTTAAAATGTTTGATCAAAGGCACAGTTAAGATCTTACTACAATTTTCTGACCTGTTCCCTTTTTTGGTTTGGCCAAATACTTGTCATCCCTTAAACATAGGCTTGTTGTGTCTTCCAGCTCCTCATAAATTATCAGCATTTGCTCGTTTCACCTGACTGTGGTCATCCGTCTTTCCCCAGATATGGATTTATGGTAACAGCTTTGAGTCCTTCCTTGTTGCCGTGGTTAATCCCAACAAAGAAGCTCTTGAAAAGTGGGCTCGGGAGAATGGAGTTAGCGGGGATTTCAATTCTCTATGCGAAAATCCCAGAGCAAAGGAGTTCATCATAGGAGAGCTCTCAAAGACTGGGAAAGAAAAGAAGGTTCCGAGTTATATTGCTTATGCAGAAACCTTTTTTTTCCTTCCTTTCGGGCATCTTTCTAATACTTCGAAGGTTTTCTCTTTGCAGCTGAAGGGATTTGAGTTTATTAAGGCGGTACACCTTGATCCTGTACCATTCGATATGGACCGTGATCTTCTCACTCCTACATATAAGAAGAAGAGGCCCCAATTGCAAAAATACTATCAGGTAGCTCTTACAAGCCAAGACAAAGGTTTTATTTTTCTTTTATTTTAATTCAGTCCTCATTCACTCACGTATGGCATGGAGTTAGTAGAATCAGGTCATGGTCTTTAAGATTGAATGTTTGATTGGGACAGCCGTATATATTGGAGTAAAATGTCTGTATGAGTTGTCTCATGTGCAGTTGCCAGTCAGCTGTTTGAGAGACATTGTTATGCTTTATATTATGATTTCTTCTAATAATCTCTATTCCAAAGAATACTAAATAAAAATTTCTTGCAGGGTGTCATTGATAACATGTACAAAAGTGTAAACAAGCCGAGTGCCTGAAGTGTCCTCATCTGCATCCATGGCTGTTTAACCTGTACAAGAGTGCAAATAAGCCGAGTGACAGAAGTGTCGTCCGCCTTCATGGCTGTTTCAAAAGCATTCATTTCCGAGACTGTACATATGTTTATTTAAACAGCTGATATGTTTCCAGATAGATCGTTTACTCAGCTGGTTTCTACAGACTAGTGCATGAATCACGCATTTTAGTTATATTGTTTACACAATACCATTACACAGAAGTGATGCTTTAGAACTCATGCAACTCCACAGGCCATTGTACTGCTGTATTCACTATTTTGAATTATTGATTGTGTTTCCGTACCTGTTTTGAAGCCTCTCACTAGCCAGATGCTCTAGGTGTTAATGTTCTAAAATTAGAAATCTAGAGCCTACTGGCCCCGGCGACGATAATCTATGAATTTGCTAATCGGTCAGGGTCACGCCCTCACTTGGAATGAGGAAAAAAGTAGCGATAAATGATGAACTGCCCAAACCGAGCCGGTTTGTTATAATAAGGTGAGAACAAGTAAGTAAGAAGAGGAGGGTTAAGTACGAGAACGTGACTGAAATTGACAAAGCGTTGCCTGTTTTGTTCTTTCTTTTTTCCTGTATTGGTCGGAATTAGGTATTCGTGTTTATTTTCGTACTCTAAGAGCGAATTAAATGAACGGTTAAATAGTCGATCGCGCTAACTCTAATTTCATTCGATCGCTAACTTTGGATCACAATAAAGAAGTCCCACAAGATTCATTAGAATTCAGTTGGTCCGCTAATTTTTAAGGACAACAAGCAATTATACAAAGCACTTACGATAGTGGCTATTAACTTGCCCTAATGAGAGAAGAATAAATGATACAGTTATTGCTGTCCTTTCATTTGCATCTCATCTCAAGATTGAGGGAGATCCAAAGCATATCTATGCCCAAGTGCAGTTTTTACACTGGTGCAAGTGGATTTCTACTCAAGTATACTGGTTACAATTAATGCTTTCGAACTTCCGAAATGAAAGTCAATTGCTCAGAACAGATCCTGGCCTCGAGTTTTGACAGAGTTTAAGTGCTTAATCCATTAAAAAAGCATGGAGAACAGACTCGTGGCGGGAATATCTGTCAAATTGTTGCAAAGAAATAAGAAACTGGGTCATTGCAAGGACAGAGGTTACACAATTTCTTGCAGAAGAAACAAGTTATGTTGCAGAGCTTACAACAGCATTGGCAACACCACACAACACAAAACAGACAACCAAATCTTCTGTCTAATGCTAGAAAAGGAAAAAAAAGAAAACACTCTTTTGTAACCTGTTGTTGTGAAACCATTCTTTTGACCTCTCAAAGCTTTTTTCCACTCTATCATCACCTTTCCAATGTCTCTATATAGCAGCAGGTGAAGTGGCAGGAGAAAGAGGATGAGCTCTCCTTTCTTAGCATTCTGTCTCTTCACTCCTTTCTTGCCTTCCATCTTCAACCTTTGTTTATTCCAGTGTCATCCGACACCTCCATAATCACATTTCACTCAAGAAATTAAAAAAACTAAATGGACGAAAAAAGCACTGACTTTTTCTTCGAATGCCAATACTATAGCTGCACAATCCTTACACTTCAACTGCGCAAACCTCTTCTTTAGTCTTCTGACTTCGGATTGCCGTAGTTGCATAGGTGATTCAATACCTATTCCAAGGTGTAGTTTGAGATCGAAACTTCTGCCTGAGAAGAAGAGTGGATATAGACAAACTCGAAGCTTTTTCCGGCTGGCAATGAGCGGAGCCACGAAGGGAAAGTGTACGAATCACCAGATTTTGTGAGACCCCACAGGGGCCCATAGAGCTTGGATATGGAAAACCGAAGGTTTTGGAGAGTTTTATCAGACTTGTTTGTCACAATTGTTGAGTATCTGTAGTAAGTTCTTCCGTTGCTGTTCCAAGACGAGGTCAACTTCTGCTCTACAGCAACTGGACTAGTGATGGCTGCGAAAGGAAATAATGTTCACAGCCAGGAAAGTAAAATGCAACACCAATGTATTGACATTGATCAAAACCATATACCAGTGGAAAACAAATCACTTTTACTGCTTTGTGTTAGAACATTACATGATGAATGAATTTGATTTAGAAGTCGTAATAATCAGCGATGAATCTCTTTAACTTAGAGTATTGATGTCTCATCCAGTCATCACCATTTTTGCACACTAATGTAAAGCTTTTGCTTATCTCTTTTTTTTTTAGGATGGACGAATCAAATGATATAATGGTTCTGTTCCTATTAGTATCAATGATATAAGTCGGATCTAAGATGTAGACATTCCCACCAGAAAAGAAGAAATGTGTTATTGGATTTATAGACAATTCAATTACCTGGGACTGGATTTGGTCGCGAAACAATCGGTTTTAGGGCAGGAAGCTCAACTGCACGAAGATGCTTATTAGTCATTGATGAACAACCAGTGAGTTAGTCCAAAATGCTGCTTCTAATCAAAACAAAATTTGGGTATAACATTCATTATCATGATCTATTCACCTGGAAGAAGCTGGTTATATCCGCCGTGGCCTCCACTTAGCCTTGCAAGCACGCCGAGGAGAGGTGCATTGTTGTATGTGGCTGGCTCGGTTTGCTCGTAGTTGTTCCTCTGGTCTGCAAAATTGTCATAGGCATCAGGTCCGCCGACTATTGCACCAGTCAGGAGATTCGGATCGCCGGCCTTTCTGCTGAACCAGGTTGCATAGCCTCCTCGGCAGCTCACGAATGTGGGGTTGACCTTAAAAGAGACGATCGAAGAAGCCCGGTGGTGGACTTGCCTCGGGTAGTTGGTTCCATACCCCACCATGTAACTTGTTGCTCTTGGGTTGTCCCCAAGAATATAGTCCACCTGCAAGTGTAATGATTTATGCTCCAGCAATTGATTGAATCTTTGCCCTTTCATCTTGTCAATGCACTTGTTAGCTGGTTCCTTATTGTATTTCTTATGAATTCACTAGGCTATAAATTGAACCAGGAAAAGACGCGAGAGAGTCAGGAATCATTAACGTGCCTGTGATTTTGCGAACGAGAAGAGCGCAGAAGGAGCGATGGCACCCGAGGAGCAGTGCAAGTTCCTTCTAGAAGACGCGAGGTAATCGGAATAGACAGTCATCAGGAATGAGGCACTGGTGACGAACTGCAAGTTGTTCCACCGCTGGCGGAACATGAGACCGCCGGGTGTCCTCTGGACATTCCTAGTCCCTCTGCCGAGGCACGAGCACATAAAGTACTCCGCCTTCTGCTGGTACCTCTCGAATACCGGTGCATAGTGACCTGCTCTCCCTTGCATCAGAATCTGCAGTGGAAGCAACACACAAGAACCCAGTCAAGCTTCCTCATCCAAACCGCTACAACAGAGTGATGTTGTTGCCTAGTATAGAGGAACCATCTAATCCGCATGATTACAAAATCAGCTATCATAAATCAAAGATCGATTTTACTAACTCACGGAGCTTATCCTTTGTTGAACTACGAGTCCAAGACTTCATCAAATTCGACCAAGAAACCACACATGATCTATGGCGAGTTTACGTACGCCAATATGCAGATTGAATGATAAGAAACTAATCCATCATGTCTATTAACTCCGTATATCGGGATACATCCCATTAATAAGCAACTGAGCTTCACAGAGCCGAGTGGCGACGAGCCACACTGGCATTATGCGACAACTAGAATGCCAATGATCAACTAAACGAGACGAGGTGAGCCCGACATGTCAATATGCAATTTCGTCTCTAGCCGAATGAATAAAATGGGTGATCGAGCGAGTGATAAGAGATTTGGTTGATGTGTGCTGTGATTGAAGAAAAGAAGTGACCTTCGACACAAGCGTCTGAACACCGGCATACTTGACATCCCAGCTGAATTCAGTCATGGCCCATCCAGTCCCACCAAGGGAGTCGCCATTCTTGCCCAGGTACTCCAAGTAATATTGATTGTTTGTTGCCCGGAACAGCCACGCAGCTGCCCACAACAGCTCATCCTGCACCACCCCAAGAAAAAAACCAACAAGTCCATCTTTATCCTTTCTTTACGACGCGCACATCCGAACCCTCGGCCTTGATTCGATCGAAACACATGATCTCGATAAACAGAGTCGTTGCGAGGTCTAAGTACTGTTAATCTCAAGCGCATTTGTAGCTTGCAAATCTCAAACAGATGCAACATGAACCAACCCTGAAACTTATGACATGACTCAAACTAATCACCATCTTTATACGCATCTACGAGTATCTAGACATGGAAAATGAACAGTTGATACGGACAGTCATGCCGAGACACTCACGTTGTAACCACTGACTGATCGATAGTACTTCTGGGCCAAGGTGATGCTGCCGTCGTATTTCCCTCTGTATTTGTCCGCAAACTCAAATAGCTGGAAAAAAAAAGAAGAAACAAAAAGAAAGAAAAAGGAAAAAGGAAAATTTACGTAGATTATATGCATTTTTTTAGCATAATAGGAATTCTTAAGATACTTGTTCTCTTCTTTTTTGTGTTGTGTTGATTGGGTTCTTTATTTTTACTGCAATTTAATAGAAGATAGAGGACAAAATAATGCAAAAAAAAGAAGAAAAAAACTAGTAAAGGAAGAAGGTTGGCCGACGCCGACAGCGTCGTCTCACGTGACGAGATACGGCAGAAGGACGAGGAGTCGCGCTCGATCGGTGCACGTGGACGGTCCAGATTCGGCGGTACGATTTAGATCTAGACGCAATACTATGTGCCTTACCAAGAAGATCCAAATCGTAACGCCGAGCTTCGTTGCCGCCATTTATCATCATTCTTCAATTATTTCTTTTTACGCCCAAATCTAAATTAATTTTTTAGATTCGATTATGAATTTGTCATCCAAGTTGAAGTTTAGAATAAATGACCTCCTTTTAAAATTCGATTTTAAGTAAAGTCTCCCCCTTTTTTTCTTTTGAAGATTATTTGCATAGACCCTTATTAGACCCTATATACACACGCCAAGATAGTATCAATAATTGCGAATTTGATTTTTAAACCGACCGGTACGAAATGTTTTGGATGGGATAAGGAAACATCATGCTATAAAGGAAAAAAGGATACTCATGTTGCATTAATTGAGGTACAATACCATAAGGAGATTTAAATTTTCACCAGCAGCTTTTTTAATTTAATAATTAGTTCCTTTTAAATCCGCTTTTTTTTAGTAAGATTTTCTTGGCCAAGGACAATGTAATGTAGAGGAGTTAGCTAGGTGGTCCATCTCTATGAATGCAAGCAAACAGGTGTCTGCTCGCACCGACCAAGCTCCACATCCAATTCAAAAATGCCTTTCTGTAAATCGAACTAGTGCGAAACCTGTTGGGCATGGTGGAGGAGCTCGGCGGAGTAGGCGGGGTCGTGGCGGCGGAAGACGAGGGAGGCGGCGGCCATGGCGGCGGCGGTCTCCCCGGCGAGGTCCGACCCGGGGTTGCTCGGGTCGATCCGGTACGCCCTCCTGTCGGTGGTCATGTCCTCCGGCCTCTGCCAGCAGTAGTGGTCGCTGTTCCCATCCCCCACCTAAGCGACAATTCCAATATCGCATTCCCCAAACCGGCATCAAAAGAAACCGTTATCAACATTTAATTCATAAACTAATGTTCAAACCAAATTGCTCTCTGTTTTACCTACAGAAAGAGCACAAGATAAATCCATTGAAAGCGACAGAGAGAAAGAGAAAGCAGAAAGATACCCCCATAATCAATATCAATGTATGTAATTATCAAACTAGAAGGAGGCCCCTACTTGTTCGTGCATCGATTTTGTGATTAGTTTGTGACTGAAGATTCATTTGAGAAAAGAAAGAAGAAGTTTCTGAATGAGTTTTGCTAACCTCTCCATAGAGGACATAGGGATGAGGATGGGCCTTGATGAAGTAGTCGGTGCCCCATTTGACGGCCTCCATGGCGTGGCCAAGCTCGCCGCTCTTGGCCATCTGCTTCCCATACTCCAGTATGCTCCACGACATCATCGTCACCGTGAACGCCATTGGCAGCCCAAACTTCACGTTGTCCCCTGCATCATAATACCCTCCCACCAGATCCACCTGGAGTTCCCCCCCAAAGAGAATAAACATCCAAAAAAGAAACAATCAAGTTCCGTTTAGCAGATCGTGTCGAATTCTTTTTTCTTTTGCCATTTGGTGATAAGGGTAGCCAAAAAAGGAGGAGAAAGTGCGACGTACTCCGCTGGCTTTGCCATCGTTAAGGCCAGAGTTGGCCCTCCAGGAGACCCTCTGGTTCCACGGGAGATGGCCAGATCTCTGAGCTTCAAAGAAGAGGATGCTCTTGCTCAGAGCTTGCCCATAGTCATGACCACCAAGAACCATGGTGGGTATGCACAGAACCAGCACCAGAAGCAGAGGAGCCATCGAAATGGTGAGCCTCACGAGCCGCTCCGTAACGTGACCGAAACTTCCCAGGAATGCCAAGTATTAGGAAACAGAGAGCGTTTGGACAGTCTTTGACTTTGTCATGGGGAATGAGAAATGCGGGATGAAATAGTGCTAGTGGGGATTATTCTTTGCTTCGAACGTTTGAACACAAAAAAAGAGCCCCAGCAAAACAAAAAAAAAAGGGTGAAGTGATTGAAGTGAAGGAATGGCAATGTCGGTCTGATTTATCGGATAAATGTTCTGATAGACCCCCTCCCTCAGGAAGCAGAGAGACTACTTCTCGGTACTCACACGGAGTGAAAAAGAAAAAAGAGTTGAGAGGAACAGAGAGAGAGAGAGAGAGAGAAAGAGAGAGAGAGAGTTTGGAAGTGAGGGAGCGAAGAGCATGAAGTGACCCTTTATGCAGATGAGGAAAGGAAGGTCCTTTAATGCCCAGAAATTGCTAAATGGGGCCAATAAAAGCAATCTCTCTCTCTCTCTCTCTCTCTCTCTCTCTCTCTCTCTCTCTCTTTCCTTCCTTTTAATTTATTTCTCTCAACGAATTTATTTCTCTTTTGGGTGACTGCATTGGGAAACGGTTGAAAAACAGAACAGAATCACGTGGATGTCCCGGGCTTTTAGGGTGCGTTTCGTAACTATTTTATTTTTGAAAATAATTTCTGTCCAGAAATCTTTATTCTGTTCCCGAAAATAATTTCTAAGCATTTTGAAGGCATTTGAAGGCATTTGGTAACGTTTCAAAATTTCCATTCCTGGAATAGAAAAAGAATAAAAATACGTTTGGTAACTGCACAAAATTTCTTTTTATTAATAATATTTTTATATTTCTTTCTTCTTCTTTTTTCCTTTTTTTTTTCTTCTCCTTCTTGGCCATGGCCGGCGACGGTGAGGGCGAGAGAGGCCCTTGCCGGCCCTGGCCTGTGGCCGGTCGCCGATGACCCGGCCATGGCCAAGAAGAAGAACAGGAAAGAAGAATATAGGAAAGAAGAAAAAGAAAAAGAAAAAGAAAATCTTTTCTATTTCTCTTTCTTGTTCTCAGAATCAAGAATCAACTTTTTTTTGCTTATTGATTCTGGTCCAAAATTGATTCGGGGAACAAATTTGTGTCCGGGAACAAAATATTTACCAAACGGATTTCTATTTTTTTTTGTTCCCCGAATTAAAAGAATAAAATCAGTTACTATTTGGCAAGTTACCAAACGCACCCTTACAGGTAAGAAGGAGTCTGGATTTTAAAGGATTTTTGTTGGGAAGAAGAACAAGGACGAAAACATTAACATTTAGCGTACGAAAGCCAGAGTTGCAGTGTACTGTGCAGCATATGTTTTGACCAGAAACAAGATTATGCAGAACGTCGGTGGACTGAGGCAGCAAGATCATACGGTAGCAATTCATGATGTTAATCACGACATGGGGACTTGGGTATGGACTGCTGCACTTTCGCAGGTACAACGGAGGCTCTGGAGCCAGAGAACCACCGAAAGAAGAACGTGCATTTGCTCAGAGCTCAATTAGTTCACCGCCAGTCACAGCAGTAGAGAGAGAGGTAAAAAATGTTCAGAGAAGCCGTTTATGGCTCTCTTTTTCCTTAAAAATTTGATTTTTATGCTGTGACCCCACTTCGAAAATGTCGATGTCGACTCTCCATCCCTCTTTCCGGGAAGCTCGCTTGGGGCTTTGGGATCTGAGGAAATTGGCCACTTTTTGAAATTTCGAATGCGATGCATGAGAGTGAGAGCCCAAGTTCTTGCTTTTACCCTTATTTTGCTGCAGAATGGAATGGGGTTGGGCCTCTTCTTTTCTTGTTTTTTTTGTCTTTTTAATTTTCAAATCAGAATCTGTTCACATGTCAGTTTTTTTGCCAAATCACTTCTTTCATTTCATCACCGCAATAAATGAAATAAGATATGAAGACAGATCTATACGGGTGATTAGAATATAGAAATGCTTACGTCACTGTCATTAATTTACTGTGAGAATAACAGTATGTTTTGGGCCATAAAAAAATAAATAACAAATAATTATAAATTATCGTGGGGTTCACTCCTTCAAGAATTTATGCATCGCAACATACTGATATTCCGACGGTAGCTCGAACAATGCTATGCTAGCAAAGTCCAAATATAATATGATATTATTTTGCACTAAATCTAGTGAGAGTCGAAGCTGTATCTTACTTCATGTCCACAAGTATTTCCATTCCGTAACCACTAATCGTTTTCTTGATAGATTCTCTTCCTCCTTCCAAATGGCAATAATTTCTTTTTTCAATTTATATTTGAATTTAAAGGATTGAGTTGCATTGATCAATTCTTTCTGAGCACGATATTCGATCGACCTGGCCCAACACAATGATGCGGGCCCATATTACAAGCGAGCTCGGCCCGCTCAATAAATTAGCTGAAGTCCCCCACCGACATGCGTTGACCAACCCCAAAGTGAAATAGTTGAATAGACTTTTCCGAATATGGTTGGGGTAAAAGTCACAAAAAACCTTAAACTATACCCACCGTGACACATTTACCCTAAATATTTTATTTTGATATAAAAAATCTCAAACTTGTACCTATGTGACACACCCACCCTCCGTCAAAGTGCTGTCAATGAAAGCCGTTAAAAATCTTCCTATTTGGACGTCGGAAAGCAAATAGTGTCGACATAATGCCCACATGGCTTAAGTGAGATAAAAATAAGGTTTTTCTTACACCGAAAAATCATTTAACAGAACCTTGATGAATGGTAAATGTGTCGTATATGCACAAGTTTGGGATTTTAGGGTAAATGTGATACAATGGTCTTAATTTGGAATTTTTTATGTCATAAAAAAATTTCAGGGTAAATGTATCGCAATTGATACAATTTAGAGTTTTTGTGGCTTTTCCGTATGGTTGAGCAAAAGCACATCAATTAATTGAAAACGGAAAAAAAGAGAGATATATAATAGAAAAGAAAGTAAGCAGCAAAATGGTCAAAAAGGTTGGTTGCCATGTCGTAGTGGTAGTGCTTTGTCTCCCCAACCGCAATCAACGGACTCTCGGAAAAAGAGGTATTGTCCGTACTTTCCCTCTTTTCCTTTAATCCCTTCTGTGTTCTTTTTTTTTTTATTTTATATATTTGCTTTACAGAAAGTGATTTTCACTTTAAACAGGGAGCCAAATTGGGATTGTGTCACCACATTCAAGTCCAATGACCAGGCTCCGGGATGACCCCATTGGAGCCGGTTCTGCGACGTCCGCGGCGACACATGTTTCCGTTCGCTACTCTCCTTACTGCACAGTGAGGTCGCCTGAAATGACGGATTGAAGGTGGCGGCCAACAAGGAGAATAAAATGTGATTTGATAAATTATGCGTGAGTGGGAGACGTAACTTGATATCCAATACAAAAGGTAATGGTATCACTATAGTTTTTAAAATTTAGAGAGAATATTTGATATGAAAAGTAAAGTTGAGGAAGATATCTACAAATTTTCCATTGTTATCTGAGAAATATTTTACTTTAAAAAGTTGTACCGAAATTACATAATTTTCAGATTTTCTGTCCCACCTCCTCTCCTAAGCTAAATTTCCGCACTCAACACTGATCATTGATTCTCTCTGGCTCAATACAAGAAAAAGTTTCCTAGACATTGCTAGTTCTAAATAAGAGATTAAGCATGAGGGAGCCTCCATGAAATTACAGGCCATCCCCAAAGAGAAAATGTCTCGTGTGATATTCTTTACTACGCATAACACGACTTTTGTACCGTGCGATATTACCGATCAATTAGATACACGAACTCGTTTTGATTTCAACCATATACTTTCTCATTCCAACCTTTTCAATATGAGATGTGCATGCCGTGGGAAACCGAGCCTTGACCGGAGAGGCTAACGGCGCATGCTAGGGTTTCTTCCGCACAAAGTGAGAATGGTTGTGAATCATGACTCCATTTTCAGACAGCAACTTGAGGACTTTTTCTCTAATTTTAAGAGAACCAAAGAAAGGTGAGCTGAGCTTTTTGGTACGGACCCATCATCACACGTGCGAGCTCGAACACGAGGAAGAGACACCGATGGACCTAGCAAAGATTCACGTAAAGATATGCTTGCAATGCATGTTCCCTTCTTTAATGGAGTGCCGAGGTGCTCCTATCGATCAACTCCCTCCACATCCTTTTAAATGCTCCCCATTTGATGAATGAATGGCCCTCGAAAAGACACTTATACGAAAAATGAATGTTGATGTTGGTATGCATGCATGCATGAAATGATTGATCCCCCCCCGGGGGCCTATCCTTCTGCCCTAGTAGTTAGACGAGAAATCCCCCCCCCCCCTTGGGGGGCCTATCCTTCTGCCCTAGTAGTTAGACGAGAAATCCTTGCTTAGGGCATGATAATCATATAAAAGCTTGACCTATGGCCCAATATCGTATTCAAGGTCCTTCCCGAGAACATTAGTCAGCATTTTGCTCATTTTTTGGCTAATTTTTAAGTCATCATTTCAGTTATTTATATAGTAGTTAGTAGCCTATTGACTCTTCAGAGAGAGAGAGAGACATTTTCCGGAGTTTTGACCACCCATGTAGTAATTAAGGCAAGCTATATTCCAGAACTCATGTGGTTTGGTAGCCAGACTTTCAGCATAATTCAATTCGAAAATTTTAAAAAGAAAAAGGTCCGATTGACATTCCGGAGCACCAGTACGAAAATCAAGGTAAAGAATGTAATCCCACCTAATAAGTGGGCCAAATATAGAGGAATCAATCGCGGGGAACTTTTGATCGGAGACCAATCCCTTCTCCTTTGCACTTTGATTATTTTCCCTTTCTTTATTTCGTGAAATGGACCAGCCTACGAAACATCATGAGGAGACAAAACCCAAAAAGCAAGAACGCTCTCCTCTACACAAAAAAAATCTTGCCGTGGCTTTAGTTCGATCACTCATAGTTTTGTTGAGCTTTAAGCAGAGCCAAAGAGCAATTCATATGTCCGAATTAACTAATCCCACTAACGTTGTCTTCACGCAGCTTTCAATGAGGTTTTAGAAGAGTGTCAATGACTTTACTTATACATAAGTG